TTTTGCATGAACAAAAGAATCTGGCCAAAAGAAGTATCGCTCTGCCTCGCGAACCGAGATATTAAGCGTTAAAGTTGACGATAATTGAGGTTAGGAAATCTGTTACATAAACAAAATGAGTTCTATAATTGTACTTTTCCACATAATCCACATGGGTTTCGACTTTCCACATGAAGCGGTCCCCCCCCCCCCCCCCCCCCCCCCCCCCCCCCCTTGCAAAGAGGCGCACAATTTCTACAATTGTAGTTGTGAAGTTAGAAAATCTGTCATGTGGACAATGGGATGTATAAGACTAGTGCTTATTAGTTCGAGGCGGATACTACGCCGTGACCCTTATTTTGCGTGGAAGGTTGTAAATCCATGTCATTTCGTATTAAAAAAATTTAACCCTAAAATCCTAAAACCCTAAAATCCATTTTTTGGTGTGAGGTGATTCGCATTTCGCATGGAAAGTTGTAAATTCATATCGTTTCGCGTTAAAAAAAACTTAACCCTATATAACCCTAATCCATTTTTTGGTGCGAGGTGGCCCTCATTTCGCGTGGAAGGTTGTAAACTTATGTAGAACTTTTTGAATGTACAACTTTCCACGCGAAAGTAAAAAATGGGTTGGGTTAGGGTTAGGTTTTTTTAACGCGTGAAACGACATGGATTTACAACTTTCCACACGAAATGAGGGCCACCTCACACCAAAAAATGGGGGAAAAACGACTTTGCACCGCAATATTTCGCGATAGTGGCTGCGTTCAGCAGACTCAACAGTTTTGCAACCGTTTTATGATTGTTCGCTTAAATTGGACTATTTTTTTAAAACTAAAAGTATAAACCAATCAGTGCGACGAATCATAAAACGGTTGCAAAACTGTTGAGTCTGCTGAACGCAGCCAGTGACAAATTTCCTAATCTCAATAGTCGTCAACTTTAACACTTAAGGCGATGCTAAAGCCTCCTGTTTTACCCACATTTCCATTCGGTGAAAAATCTCCGTATTAGATGTACGGATTGCAAAAGTATTATTACATAAATTAAAGTACGCACAAACAGGACCTCAGCTGCACTGGATTTCATGAGAAAATCGAAAAAAAATTTAAAATTCGTTAAAAATTCACTTTTGGCTCGTACAGCTGTCACCTCAGATATATGTTTGCTTGATAAGAGTTCTATAGCGTTTTCTCTTGGCTACACTATCACCCACTAGTGCAACACTCAGACAGTGTACCGTGTTTCCATAGGCCTGTTCTTTTTGGCTGAACTTTTGCACCAGTTCATCTTTCTTCCTCTTCTTTCCTGCTGGAGAGAAAAGGAAAAAAGATGAACTGGTGCAAAGGTTCAGACAAAAAGAACACGCCTCATGGTTGGTGGTAAGCGAACTCATTCGGTGTACCGTGTTTCCGTGGCTACGGTGTAATGCAAATTTTATGCACGAAGTGGGATTTTGCTACACCGTCTCAAAGAGACCGTGTAGAGCCAGTGTGACATTTAAAATTTGAAAATAAAAGTCAAGCGGGAACAGAGTTTTAGCATAATAATGATACAGTGTACATCATGGTGTGCACCACTCTAGTGTAGTGTAGCAGGCACTGTAGCTGAGTGTAGCACTTACACGCAACTGGTGCGGTGTGAGACTGCATCCAGTGTATCCCAAGAGAACGCTATTAGAGTCCATATCTTGAAAATAAGCGTGCAGCTGAGGTCACATTGAAACCAAAGACAAAGAATGGACTGCGCGATCCGTATCTAAGTAATGTATTAAATGTGGTCGACAATAATGAGAGAGAGAGAGACCGTGGGAGACGGCCAATCTCCCTCTCATTCTCTTCCATTACACCACTGAATGGAAAGAGATAGAAATGGCCGTCTGCCACGGTCCCTCTCTCTCATCCCTGTCGACCATTTTCACACACGGATCGCGCAGTCCATTCTCTATGGCTTTGATTGAAACGAACGATACCGAGTTTGTAGAACTAAGGTTGAAAGTCTAGAAAAGAAATATTTCCACCGAATATAAAATACGTGTATACAGGTGCTTTGCGAAGACTGGGACTGTCAACAGAGCCGAAATTCCGTGTAGCAGTAGTTGCGCGGTCTTGCGATAGATGTTGCTTTTTGGCTCCCTCTAAAAAAAATTAATAAAAAATATCAATGTATGCTCATTTGATCGCATTTTTAAAAACGTACCAATAGATGGCCCACCCTGTATTAGATAAGAACAGATGTATGCGTTGAGCAAGATAGAATAATATATATTATATAATATAATATAATGTAAAAACTAAATCAAAGATGTCATCATTATTATCGAATTTGGAATTAAAATAGTCTGTACCTACTATCGACCTTGATCGAGTTCGGTAATCGGTTTAGCATCCTCTTCATATCTCGGTTCACAGGGCAGAGCGACACTTTTTTTACCAGATTCTTTCGTTTCATGCAAAAACGCGTCGAATAAACCTAATTTTATTGATTTTTGAAGTGCGGTAGCTAAACTGAATAATTACCAAATTCCAAAAGAACATTTCCCTCACTCCGTAGCGACGACGACGACGACGACAACGACGACGTTTCTTATTACATTAGAAGTTTCAGATTCGTATTTTGCGTCGCAATATCTCCGCTCGTAGGGCACGTAGAGAAAAAATAAAAACACGTACTATACAACCAGAGTGTATGCTATCGATTAAGCGTACAATGTGATTCTGTCCTTATTGAGATATGATAATCTTGGTCCTTCGCAATTCATCGGCCCGCGTAAAGTAGCCACGATAGTGTCGCTACGCTTGGCTTAACGCTGAGTCACTACCGTGTCTCCAGATTCGAGCAAGTATATTCAAGGATCTCGAGTATCATCTAACACGATCCCCTCTTCGGCCGGTACGTCCTCCTACAACTCGGACACCGTGCAACCAAAAGCCAGAGGAATCGTTGCCATCATCCACCGACCAATCACCAGCAGCAGCAGTAACCTCTCCTAAGCCAGCGGTTATTCGCAACCGGTAGAACCGGCTAGGAAACGCCTGAGGATCCGATCCTCTCGGGATCAGGTACTCGGCGCATCATCGCCTGCGGGCCTCCGACTTATCGGAGTAACCGGTGAGTTACCACCAGAGGAACCCCTAACACCCGGAGTAACCGACGAGGTAGCAGCGGTCGCGATTTCACAATCAACACCCAGAAGAGCAGCACTAGAAGATCTGCAATGGAAACTACATCGCATCCTGCTATCTTCTCCTAGGCGGACACGACCACCACAACTCTTGCTGACTCCAGGCGAACCGAGGCTGTACCAACCCGTATCGTCAACGTACGCGATTGAGGTACCAGTCCTCCTGAGACTTCTAGGTCCCTGCGACGTTTCTGTATCCGCGGTAATCAGACGGGACCTGATTGGCGCGTTCATAGAGGGACGCTACTGCGTCCAGCAGAACCAGCCTTAGGGGCTCCGCACAATAAAAGGAACAGGGAACAGAGAACAGAGAATAAGAATTTCAACCTTTATAGAAATTCTCTGTTCTCTGTTCCCTGTTCCTTTTATTGTGTGGAGCCCTTCACTCCGTCGGCTTCGCTCACAGCCACATCCAAGGAGGGCAAGAAGGCGCCATAACCGTCGGCATCCAAGGCCAATCTAACGACTGACAACTGTAGCTGCCGAGTCCTTTTCAAGACTTTGCCCCAAATATCTCAGGCATGGGTCTTGAGTTCGCACCATATACATATCCGTTCTTGTCAGGACGCCATTGGTTGGAAAGAATCACACGTTGCGCTTAATCTGCTCTCATACCAATAACCACCAAACCCCACTTTACAGTCTCGATTTAGTCTGTACTCTGCAGTAGTGATAATTTTTTATTTTCAAAATCAAATTTTGGTTTATATTTAGAAAAAAATTTACCAGTGATGATAAAGCAACCTATGCAGTGCAGTTAAACTATTTTGAACAAAAATTTGAAATATGTTTTTGATGATATGAAATTAATTTATTGTTCTAGATTTCTAGATAATGCGTTGAAATAAAAAATTATTATATTGACAAAAATGAAAATATTTATGACAACTCAAAAACGAGACGAATTGTTTCTTTAATTAATCGATGGATTTCGTCTATAAATAGTTTGTAAATAGATAAGCTAAAAAAAAACACTTCGAAGTTCTGCGATGATTCCTACGACTCGTTATACTCAAAACATATTTCACATTCGCGATAATTAAAAAATATTTTGACAGCCCTTTGCTCATTTCTGTGATGTCAACGGAAACGTTTGATCTATTCAACGACAGGATAGGACCAACCCCCGAAACGAAATAAATTGGTGGTTCCAATAGTAGCAAATGAAGCGAGTCGCACAGTCGCTCATTAATCGAATAAGCCCACAGCTGATTGGCTCCTGATTTAATCACCTGGCTATCTGTACGATCCGCGTATCTATCTCGGCGCCCACCCTCTCGTACGGATGGGATTATCCATGAGATTATTATTGTTGTTTACTGCTAACAAACCCGGTTCATGCCCAAAGCTGCGGAGTTACTGGAGAGTTTCCGTCGAACAATGCAATTAACACGTCGGACATGGCCGATTACTCGCCGTACTCTGCCGTACTCTATTGAGAGAAAAATAACGATGCTTGTTAACGCGCGATGATTAGGTCGGCTGACTGTATGCGTCTGTGTATATGGAAGTATTCCGAAACCAGTCCATGTCGAAACTAAAACACCAACTAAGATCGATACCATTCCGATCATGAATAGAAGAAATTGGGCTGAATAAGTAATTGCATTATTAGACACCAATTGTATTGTGGAATACCCATCTCCATACATATACGCGTGATTATAATTATTTACGATGCAATACGAAGCACACGATTCTGAGTCACAAATTATACATACCGCACACAACGCGGTAAAAGTAGATTTATTGGATTATTATATATTATTTTAGATTTAAATATATGTTATTTTAGATAAAAAAGAAGCTTTAGTTTACAAAATATATTTATTTTCAGGATCATGGCAGATATGACGGAATTCAAAGAGTTCTCTTCGGCGGTGGCCTACGGTTTTGGCTGCACAAATTGCTGCTGCTGGACTCGTTATCCTACTTGTCACACGGGCAATTGAGTCTCAGTTTAAATCGTATGATCCTGGTGGACGTTGACGATATATTTGTCGGCGAGAAAGGCACCAGACTGAGAAAAGATGACGTAATGGCATTGTTAGCTACTCAGCAGAGAATTCAAGCTCTGGTGCCGGGGTTCAAATTTAATTTGGGGTTTTCCGGGAAATATTTTCATCACGGGACAGCGGAGGAGAATTTGGGGGACGACATGCTTTTGGAGAACGTAGACAGGTACAGTAAATCCGAAAATTAATCGTGTGAAAGTGATAAATTCGGTGAATATTACATTACGTTAGAAGTAGAGATATACATATATCTAAAGTATATATTATTAAATATGTATTGGTCAACAGAATATAATGTTTATTATTTCATAAATCGAAATATTTGTATAGCTTTAAAGGTAATCTAATTAATTAAAATTATGGTGGTGACTACAACGATTATATAATTTATTATTATAACGCACACACATATAGAGTGCATAATATAAACTAAATTTACGGTTACGTCAACATCGTAGTATGTTTTATCGTATAATATCACGCAACAGCTTGTTATAATGCTGCCATAATCGCCTGCGACAAAACGTTACAATGTTACAATGCTTCACTATGATCGCAGTTGATTGCGACTATCGAGCTAAAAAAATACAAAGGAAAATCCAAATTTCCATGTACTTGGAGAAGGCGTTTTCTTATGCGATCGTCAATGTATTCAATGAAAATACGTATACTTATTGTAATATCAAAAATTTACGATTTTTTTTAGATTTACGTGGTTTTCCCACATGTGGAATCACCAACAACCGCATCTTTACGAGAATGTAACTCATCTACAATTGGACATGGCACTGAACAAGCAATTCGCAAAGGATCACGGTATACCAACCGGAAGCGGATACAGCGTAAGTCCACATCACTCCGGCGTTTATCCGGTCCACGAAGGCCTCTATGAAGCATGGAAGCGAGTATGGAACATCAAGGTCACAAGCACCGAAGAATATCCGCATCTAAGACCGGCTCGTTTGAGACGCGGTTTTATTCACCGTAATATAATGGTACGAATCTGGAAGTCATACAAATTCGTGTGTGAATTCGACCACAGTTGTTGAATTTTTTTTAAAGCGAGCATTCCCAACAATTGATATGATGTACGAGTTGCATACAAATGTTTATTGAAAATAATATATCGACTGTGCATTTCAGCTGAATACCGGTTATACTGTAATTTTCGAAATATGAAAATCAGGCTTTTATTGCTCGCTAATTTACATGAATATTAAACACGTAATCAATCGTAAAATTTCGTTAATAACTAATTTGGTATTTATTTTATCAATGGACGGTGAAATGAGGTATAAGAGATTGTATTATTTTATTGGGTGCGATATGTAACTCAAGTCTTGTATGCAAAATTAAGTTTTTATTATCAAAATAAATACTTTGTGTATTTTTTAAATTTTATATTTTATTTAATCCTCTGAAATATATAAATTATTCGATGATACATATTGCCGGATGAAAGCCTTTTTTTATTTCAAGGTTTTACCGAGGCAAACGTGTGGCCTTTTTACTCACACAATTTTTATCGAGAGGTATCCAGGTGGAAGGGAAAAGCTGGACGAGTCGATACAGGGCGGAGAACTTTTCCAAACGATCGTATATAATCCGGTGAGTAAATCAGCCGTTATGAAATCAATCTTTGCCGGGCTCGTTTGATCTTTCATATTATAGACAATTCGCTTTTAATAGCTATTTATCTATAACAAATTGATAATCTTCGTTATTAATTATTTCTGATATATCTTCGTAAATTTTAGATTTTTAATATGATACTGATTAAAATATGTATAGATATAAAATATATTTTATATCTCATACTATAACGATACATGCAAGCATAAAATAATTTAAACTGTGTATTACTTTTTCCAGATAAATATTTTTATGACGCATATGTCGAATTATGGAAACGATCGGCTGGCATTGTACACTTTTGAATCAGTTATAAAATTCATTCAGTGTTGGACTAATTTGAGGCTGTCTAGTGCACCACCACTTCAGCTTGGAGAACGTTATTTTCAATTATATCCCGAGGAAGCCGATCCAGTGTGGGGAGTGAGTGGAATGAATATTCAATAACTTTGACAGTGCTTCTATAACATTATTAAGCTATTTTAATATCTTCTTTTTATAGAATCCATGCGACGATCAGAGACATCAGAAGATTTGGTCTCGTAATAAAACTTGTGATCAGCTACCACGATTTCTAGTAATCGGACCTCAAAAGACTGGTACTACGGCATTGTACACATTCCTGTCCATTCATCCAGCAATAAGCAGCAATTTACCAAGCCCCGATACTTTTGAAGAGATACAGTTTTTCAACGGAAAGAATTATTATAAAGGTCTTGATTGGTAAGTAATCAGAATCGGAAACATTAATTCTGCAATTACTATAATATACAGGGTAACATCTTATTTTAATTTACCTTGCACCCAAAAACTTTTTTATTTGTAATTTTAGAATAATGTTTTAGACAAAAGTGTAACGGTTTCGAAGAGAACGTATTTTTTAGTCACGTATTTTTCTTCTAGGTGGTGGCATCAAAAAGATATAAAAAGCTTCATTTTTGTAAATGAAATTATATGATTTTTTTATATACAGAGAAAATAATGAGATAAATCAATTGGTGTAAAGAAAACACATATTGCTTATTTAAAATTTATAGTTACTTATTTAAAAAATTATTTACTTTGTCTACCTATTTTTTAAAGTAACTGTGTTTTCTTTATACCAATTGACTCATCTTATTATTCCCTTTAAAAATATCAAGATACGATTATATAAAAAATTAATAGTTTACACGAAATATTTAATATTTCATGTTAATATGTGCCAGAATAAAGTATAAAATATCTTGTAAATATATTAGTGTTTTGATAGCTCTACCTTAATACTTTTATATGCAGAATAATTAGAGGAATCAAGTATGTAAAAAAAATCATTTAATTCCATTTTAAAACGTGATGTTGACCTTCATATCTTTTTTGTGCTTTCATTTAAAAGAAAAATAAGAAATAAATTAAAATAGGACATCCTGCATAAAGCAGACGGAATACATACCTTTCATTGCTTTTACAGGTACATGAGCTTCTTTCCAGCATCAAAAAACGAGAGTTCTCGATATCTCTTTGAAAAATCTGCTACTTATTTTGACGGAGAATTAGTACCACGAAGAGCCCATGCACTTTTACCAAGAGCTAAACTAATCACCATACTGCTCTCTCCAGCTAGACGTGCTTATTCATGGTACCAACATACCAGAGTACATGGAGATCCGGTAGCGAACAATTACTCCTTCCATGCGGTCATCACAGCGAGTGATTCTGCTCCGAAATCCCTACGGGATCTTAGAAATAGGTAACATAATTGAACACGAACGATTACGTAAGACGTATTCACTTAACAATGTATTAATAGACATTATTTGCAACAGTAATTAGTTAAAAGTTAATGATCGCCAAAATAATGAATGCCAAAAAACTTATATCTTCGTATAATTTTATATATGATTTAATTAACAAAACATGCCATGTATTTTAATTGTCATAAGTTGCAAAACGATACTATATTCAATTACAGATGTTTAAATCCTGGAAAGTACGCCCAACATTTAGAGAGATGGTTATCGTTCTATTTACCGCAACAATTACACATTATCGATGGCGAGCAGTTACGACAAAACCCTGTGGAAACGCTGCATGAATTGCAACGATTTCTAAAAATAACACCCGCCTTCAATTATTCCTCACACTTGAGGTACGATCCGAAAAAGGGTTTTTTTTGTCAAGTAACTAACGAAGATCGCACTAAATGTCTTGGTAAAAGTAAAGGTCGCCAGTATCCACCGATGGAAGACAGATCGTACAAATTATTACAGGTAAAGTTTTTGTAGTAAATTTTCTTATTCAGCATATAAGACAATCGTATCTATTTGCAAACATGCTGTGTCTTTTGCAGAGGTATTATTTGTCCCACAACACGGCTCTAGTGAAATTATTAAAGCGGCTTGGGTCCAGAACGATTCCACAATGGTTGAAGGAGGACCTTACCGACACTGTGATGACCTAGCAAACGCCAATCACATGAAACTTTAATGTTTCCCGGCTGCTCGCTTCCGCTGTCAGCGAGATACGTCGCTTGCTAATGGAAGACTTGTAAAATAATTGTACATTCAAAACTCCACTGGATTTCACATCTTTAAAGGAAGGACCATGCTGGCCTATCTCAGTGGACTGGCCTAATATAATTGAAGACCCTACAAAAGCTAGTCATATAAGCGATTTTACGAAGTCCCAGTTGTAATTGTCGATCACTGTTAAGCTAATAATACTAGTTTCACTGTTATTATTCTCTTTATTTTATTATTATTATATTATTACTGTATTACTATTATTATTATCATTATCATCGTTACCGCGTCGTAGAAATCAAGGATATTAATCACTCACTAGTGCCATTGTCCAGCAATAATTAGGCACCTTTCTATTTCCCCATGTATAAGTTGAGCAAAAAGCCAATCAATACATATAAATTGAAAATTATGTAAAAGAAAGATATATCTTTACAAAAAATATGACAGACCTGTTTTTATAAATTTTATGACGTAAGAAAAGATTTCGTATATATCAAGAAGAATGTCCATGATAGAAATTTATAAAATATCTAATGCTGAACATAAATGAATTTTTGCTATCAACGCGATACGCGTGTTGTAACGAATGATATTGAAGAGTATCTTTTCGGCAAAATGCAATATTTAAAAAAATTAAAGTTCACTTTTCTTAATATCAGACTGTCCAAATCATATTGTTTTGAGAAATGTATATTCTTCATAAGTAAGTGTAAGGATCGATGAATTGTATTATCAGATTTTTGAACCAGACAGTTCATCGATTATTCTTCTTGCACTAATCATCGGATCGTCCATGCGAGCGTGAGATTTCAGGAGTTTGAGAGCTTTTCTCTTAAGCCCACCACTTTCGGAGATACAGTGTATATTAATTCTCGTTATATATTTAAGATCGATGACGATGACAAGAAATCTATGTATATTTTGACAATACTATTCTTGGTATCCACGGTGGAAAGGCCAACAAAAGATGTGTGATCGCGTCCGTTTGTATATTGATGTAACGCATTATTTTGATGTTAATATAGGTGTATTATAGTATATAAAAAAATAGGGTGAAAACTTGAAACCGACAATTCAGGTATATCCAAGATGAGTTTGGAAGTTTGCCAATCTCAGATGCGTTAACGAACATACATCCATTTGCAATAATCAACACTATCAGAGAGTTGAAACTTGTGCGTTTATTAAATCAATAAACGATTCTTTGGCGCACTATGCAAATTACCCGCTGATAAATTGTATGAAAATATTTAAGATTTGACACGATTATTGCGAATTGCGTACAGTGATACATCGTGGATTTGATCATTGTTGTAAAAAGTAGAAATAGAATCTTATTTTTCAGCGGGTAAGTTCAAATAATTACACAGTGATTTTTCGAAATTGTTTTTTAGCATACTTTTCAAATTCAATATATGCAGAATCTTTATTGTGTAACTACTTGTTTGGAAATGATATTAGTATCATACAATATTTATTTTACTTTAAAAGAATATACATCGAATCGACCTAAGAAGATTTTGTTGGTCAAGAAAACAATAGAATCTAATTATTGTATACGTATATTTTTTTATATTTATTTGTCACTTATACGTATATATAATATCATCTCCAATAATGTAAACTACATGTACAAATATTTTTAATAATACTGATTGTATCTGTGACCATATCTAATTGTACATTGTAACGAATTCATGAGATTTCAGAATCTCATGGCAGATATCTGCATATAATATCTGCTTGCTGCACTTTTTCTATAGAAAAGTGTACGAATATCGTATATATGGCCCGTTAGGAAAAAGTCCAAAACGAGCAATATAAGATCAGGAGAGAATTTTTTTTATTTGCAATTTCATCACTATATTAATTGTCTCGCATTGTGAATGTTTCTGATGATGCCATTACATTGAGTGTTACGTATGAAACAATGTTATATTTAGACAGAACCTTTTGTTATGTTTGTACAACTTGTTTTCATTTTTATACTGCCGTTAAAGCTATGCCATTGTAACGTTTAACAAATCATGTACAAAGTTTATTGTTAGTCTTGTAATAGTAGTTACTAATGATAATGGTAATATCAACTGATCTGTTTCGTCGAATCGTGCCATTTTACTAATGTTGTATATATTATTATGATTATAATGTATCAATCGGATTTTTAGAGTCAATATCCTTAATTTGGTTCAGTATGGCGGTAGCAACAAATGTCCGGATTGCTACTACCTGACAATAACCTGATGGCAGACAGAGATAAGTAATAAATCCCGTGAAATTTATCAGAACATGATTGTCGCACATATAAACAGAATTAGCATTAACATTACCTCATCACTGATCTTCATTTTCTATTTACTTTTATCTTTTTATATTTGATATTTTTCTACAATTATATCTTTTCCACAAAATTTTAAAAACTATGATTAAAATAAAAAGCAATACAATTACATGTATTACCAACGTCTGAGTGTTCAGTTTTATGAATTAAAAATGATTTTCTCGTCTCATTTTGTACATATTAGTTATTGTCATCAGTGGTAGCGTACTCTCTGTTAATTGCTACAAAATTTCGCGAGTGCATTTGTTTGCGTATAACACAGAAATGGCGAGCACTTTGTAAATATTCTGTTTGAATATAGACTGCCCAGGAAAAGAAAATGCCATTGTTGTGCGAATAAACGAAACTGCGCGTAGAGGATGTGTGTACGACACTTCAATTATTTAACTTATGACTATTCTAATGTAAAATATTGTAATAATTGTACGAATAGTCTGTAAGTTCTAATAAAAGAAGCACCAAAAATCCTACATTGGATTGTTTTGTAAATGACAACATATTGAAGTGATATTATATGCAATATATAATACATTTTTTCTAGTACGCATATTTTGAATATCTTTCTTAATTTTAATTTCACACATTTTATTTACAATTCTTTTATACTATTCATTTAATTCTCTTTGTTCTTTTCAGAGTACATTTGTTACCTATTTTATATGCATCAACATCTTAGAACTGAAACAATTTTAGAATGATTATATTAAAATAATTTAGAACGATATGCGGTAATGATAGTCCAGCTTTTTCATCTTCAAAGTTATATAATATCTTTAATCGTTCCAGTTCCAAGAAATTGATGTAGCTTCTTTGATAACTTCGCTGTTTCGACATATCAATATCTTCTACGGCTTTTACGCACTTGAATCGAATCTCTTGTTATGGTTGATAGAGTTACTTATAATATATTTGCGCTATAAATCAATGAGTCCTTGTTTATTGCAATATCTTTTATGGATTCGTTCAAGTCTGATGTCTTTGCAAGGATAATGTCATCGTCGCATGAATCACTGGATGAAGAATCCAAGCAATTTGGTCCCAACACAACTTTCAAATCTTCTTTGACAAATTCATGATGTAAATTCATAAATTTTATGGTCCTTCGAAGCTGATAATTCGATTCGTTCAAATTCTTTCGATCTCCAGACACATTAAAATATTCCGAGATTAGATTTTTGTCCCCAGCATTAAAACCATCGATACTGAATTGGACGCTATTTTTCTCGATTTCAAATTCTTTCAAAATCTCTTCATCTATTTCCTCAATAGGATCTAAAGTACACTTTATCTCCTTTCCAAGAAATCTTTTCCCTCCAATTTCTGAAAGATCCTTGCCAATCGATTCACCAGTACCACCTTTATTTTCTATTAACGCCGGAGTACTCCCAGATAAAGTATGCACTTGTCTTACTTTCTTTACTCTTGCTCCTACTAAATACATTATTGCTGTTACCGAGAAGATTGAAAATGGCTGTTTTCAACGGACTCAACAGTTGAGTGAACGCTCGCTGTTATTGATGTATTCTTTTAGATCATCCAATCAGCGTTTTAGATCTTGAAGAATACATCAATAGCAGCGAGTGCTCACTCAACTGTCGAGTCCGCTGAACGCAGCCAATGATTTATTCTTTATGTATTTCGAAGCTGGTAATATCTTATCGTATAATAGTTATAAACTCTACTTTTTTAATTATAATATTATTTAATTATATATATTTTTATTTACCAATTATTAGAATAGTTAACGAAAAATTATTGAAAAATATAAAAATAAAAAAAAACGCGAAAAAATATATATAAATATTTTTTAATATTAAATTTATATTGAATTAAGATACCGAAGAAAAATGTAAGTACGTATTTTGGATTTCATAAATATTACCGACCCGGCATTGGAATTTTTGTAACGTTAGCTTCAATTTTGACGTTCACGTTCTGTTGGTTCGTGACGGTAGGCCTTTCTTCTTCAAGCTTATTTATCTTTTCTTGATACTTCGAAAATCTGAAATCAATGCACGGATGATGTCCTGTGTTGGAAGTTGAATCCAGGTAAAGGCAACCACTATTAGGAGAGAAAAGTTTTTGCAGAAACGATCTTGACAGAGCTCTATCGACAGCAGCGTTGCCCCGTGCATGATTCAAACATTCCGATCTATTACAGAGTATTCCGCAGCACTCCATAATACTGAAGATCAGCAGCATTGCTGTGCCAACTAGGGCCAGCAATGCAGCCAAGGAGATTAATTGCCAAGAGAAATTCAATAATATCGTCATGGTATCCTCGTCTGTACGCATCGCGCAGATGGGAGCAAGGATACTCCCAAGGATCGCGCAAATAAAATGTACGGCTACGACGTTGCAATAATCCTCCAGGGTGCTGTGAAAAATCCATGTGGAGACGAAATGGAACACGATACCTCCCAGGGAGCCCAATACGATAGCTACTTGCGGTGAATAATCGTTTGGTGCAGCCGACACCATTATCACACCGGCGATCGTTCCTTGAATGCATCTCATTAACGTCCAATGATCATAAATATCACGGTCGAGGACGAAGTGTAGAGCCACGATTATCAATGTGCACGAGGACGCGGCTAGCAAATTGTTGACGTATGCGTGCGATGAGTCCCGTGCGAACATTCGGTACTTGTCATGCTCATGCGAGCTCGTGCACAAACCCTGCAAATGTACGCATTGTTGTACACTAGCAGTTAGCGGGTTAGCGATTCTTTTTCTGCATGGAAAAAGAACGGTTCTGTATTTACAAATTTAGCTACGTATAGATGTCAAACTAATTTTGTTGGAACATCAAAATAATTGTGTCAAACTG